TGTCATGTCATGATTATGTAGGTGTCATGTCAGTCTTATGCACACCCCTTCAAGTAAAGTGTTACCCATTTTTCTTTTTCCTCATCAAATAGAGCCTAATAAAATAATAATTGATGAACCTTCACATAACTGCAATGTTTCAGAATTATAATCCACATTCATTCCATAGTTACCAAGCAACCTTCTTATTGCCTCATTAATATTCATCAGCCAGGCCTTCGTCATAGTAGGATTCGCAACTTCAAAGATCCGTCCAGCAGTGAGAGTCAGACTCGATATCCCTCCGCCGCGGATGCTCGCATCCCGAGATGAGCTGTGGATGCGCTTGTTTAAACTTCAAATGACTCGGTTGGGTCTTTGTTATGGGCTATGGTTAGGGGTAGGGTTAGGTTAGGGTTAGGTCAAATAATGTCATATTTGCATTAAAAATGACATAACTGAGCGAATGACACTTAATGACAGTCGTCATAAACATGCATAAAACCTCCTTCATATTCATGTCATGTGTCATGTCAGTCTTATGCACACCCCTTCAAGTAAAGTGTTACCCATTTTTCTTTTTCCTCATCAAATAGAGCCTAATAAAATAATCATTGATGAACCTTCACATAACTGCAATGTTTCAGAATTGTAATCCACATTCATTCCATAGTTACCAAGCAACCTTCTTATTGCCTCATTAATATTCATCAGCCAGGCCTTCGTCATAGTAGGATTCGCAACTTCAAAGATCCGTCCAGCAGTGAGAGTCAGACTCGATATCCCTCCGCCGTGGATGCTCGCATCCCGAGATGAGCTGTGGATGCGCTTGTTTAAACTTCAAATGACTCGGTTGTATCCGGAAACTGTGCTTTTTTCAACAGAATATCGCGGAGGATGTTGTTGTTTGATATTATACAGGGTACTATTTTCATGTAGGGGGCAAGGATAAAGATGTAAAGGGGCAAAGCCGGAACAAGCCGCTTTTCGAGGCGTAGGCTGCATGTGTTTTAAAGAGACAGAGATGCTTCATTTGAACGATAGGGGATCATGTGGATCTGTTTGTTCATGCACCTTGGTGAAAGAGGAAGCGTAATGAGTACTGGATCGATTAGTAGACTTGAACATCTTGAAATGCTCCATAAAGCTTAGATTTCCTGGGTTTTGCAAAGACCATCCTCATGGGAATCTACTGTAGCCTATAGACTTTTGCCAGTGAAATGAAGCTCACACTTTCTGTTCCTGCTTCACTGATGAGTTGAGATCTCTTTCATGGAGAACTAGATACAGTAGCAGGTGCATTGCAGGATAGCTGTGTGCTTATCTTGGCTTGGCATAAACAATTTATATAAAATACTGCACAATACTGGGGAGATGTGTGATGCTACAATGTTATATTGTAATATAATGTAATATATTGAATGCTATCATGTATGTTATGTTATAAAATGATTTATGTGCAAAATTATTTGATAAAATCCTGACTGATGTGATATGGTATTTTATGTGAGTACGGCCTAGTGCAGCTCTAAATGTATTTTGCATAACTATTTTAGTTCAGGATATTCATAAAGGTCATTTTGTGGAAAAAAAAGTAGAAAACAATACATATGACTTTCCCTTTGCATTTAAAGTCGCACAGTTTGCTTTTCAGACTGTCACCAGGTTAACACATTTACCCTCATTCACTCACTTTGATTTGTATTACAGTAAAGCCCAAATGAGAGACATTATTGATAAGGACGTTGGCGACACCATCCGGCCATAAACAGACACTGCAGTCATATTGCACATATTTAAATGCTGTATATTTTCTACAGGATTTTACTGCTAAATAGTTATTTTGTCTTTCATACTTTACCTGAATCTAACATGCATCTTTCAGTTTCGTGTTCTTTAATTTGTCTACTGATTTGCAATAATGAAAGGCTCTTTAAACAAATAGGTACAACGAATAGTTAAAAAAAGGGGCCTGAATCTCTTATAAAGGTTGAAAGGAGGCTTTGGAAATGTTGATCCGAACCTCAAGAGGTCAAGATAAATATTGTATGAGCTATTAAAAAAAAAACATCTAATAGGTCTACCAAACTAATTTAGGACTCTACGTTAAAAAATAAAGAAAGTTTAATTAATATTTAATCAATGTTTTATTAATATCAAATAGTATTTTTAATTTTAATTAATAGCTTTTACAAACCTAAACCGAAAGTTTTATTGAAACACAAGGGGGCGCTCTTTGCACACAGTGACTTCAAGATCTTTTTCCCTTTTTTTTGGATTCTTTCATGATACAAAGCTACTGAGCTCCTGCAAAGTGTTTGTTTGGACGATGTTTTCTAGCCAGCGTCTGGTCTTTTGATGTAGTTTCTGTTTCCCCGTGACTGAAGAATATCTGGCAATGAGACATCCGGTCCCCTGTTTTTTTTTTTAGAAATGGTCCATTAAAGGACTAGTTCACCCAAAAATTTAAATTAGCTGAAAATGTACTCAGTCTCAGGCCATTTAATATGTAGATGAGTATGTTTCTTTATCAGAAATTCAACATCGCCAATGGATCCTCTGCAGTGAATGGGTGCCGTCAGAATGAGAGTCCAAACAGCTGATAAAAACATCACAATAATCCACAAGTAAACCACATGACAGTCCATCGGTTAATGTCTTGTGAAGCTAATAGGTGCATGCTTGTAAGAAAACAAGTCCATAATCCATTATATTGCTTTCTCTAGTGAAAAAGTCATCTCATCTGAATCAGGAGAGAAATATGCACAGATCAAGCACTTTTTACAAGAAAAA